TTGCTGAGGAGCAGCTGGTGGATTTTAACTGCTGAACCTGTGGTTAGCAGTCCAGTGCTTATCCAACAGTTCCATACCAGGACACCTCCATTTTATTAGCATCATTCTTAATCAAGGAGTCCTGGTGGATAAGCACTGGACTGCTAACCCCAAGGTGGCAATTCAAATCCACCAGGTCCACCAGTCAGTCACTCCTGACTGGTGAAAGATGAGTTATATGCTGCCACAAAGATTTATGGTGTTGGAAACCCTATAAAGGATCACTATGAGTCAGCATCATAATGGGTTGTTTTGTTTTGCTTGGGTGACACAATGGCTATGTACTTGGTTGCTGAAAGGACAGGTTTGAACCCACCAACTGCTCCATAGAAGAAAGACAATAATACAGTTTGCTTTCTATAACAATCAATAGATTTGGAAACCCTATGGGGCAGTTCTACTTTGTCCTATCAAAATCAAGTTGATGACAGTGGATTTGTTTTTGTTTTATTATTAATTAGAATGCTGTGTTTAGAGGCTGATTGCGTCTCACTCTGGTATTATCTGTAAATATATTCAAATCCATTTTTTTTCTTCCTCCTGCTCATCTCCCACCTCACTCCTCAAATAAGGAAAGGGTTTTTCACAAAGGTTAGCTGAAGAAAAGGAAAACAAGACCACCAGAGCCAAACTACAACCTTGACTACATCCCACCTGAATTTAGAGATCATCTGAAGAACAGATTCGATACATTAAACACTAAAGACCAAAGACCAGAAGAGTTGTGGCATGACATCAAGAACATCATACATGAAGAAAGCAAAATGTCATTAAGAAGAGAAAAAATAAGGAAAAGGTCAAAATGGATGTCAGAAGAGACACTGAAACTTACTCTCCAGAGTAGAGATGCCAAAGCAAATGGAAGAAATGAGGAGGTCCAAAAGCTGAACAGAAAATTTCAAAGATCAGCTTGAGAAGATATAGCCAAACATTACAACAAAAATGTGCAAAGATCTGGAGTCACAAAACCAAAAAGGAAGAACACATGTTGCTCAGCATTTCTCACGCTGGGGGGAACTGAAGAAAAAATTTAAGCCTGGACTTTTGTTATTGAAGGATTCTCTGGCCAAATTATTGAATGATGCAGAAAGCATCAAGAAAAGATGGAAGGAATACACAGAGTCACTGTACCAAAAGGAAATGATGAATGTTCAACCATTTCAAGAGGTAGCATATGATCCAGAGCCAATGATACTGAAGGAGGAAGTCCAAGGTGCATTGAAGGAATTGGCAAAGAACAAGGTACCAGGAATGGATGGAATAAAAATTGATATCTTTCAAGAAAGTGAGGTGGCACAGGAGACACTCACTTATTTCTGCCAAGAAATTTGGGAGGCAACTATCTGGCCGACTGATTGGAAGAGATCCGTATTTGTGCCCATTAAAAAGAGAGGTGACCCAATGGAATGCGGAAATCATCGGACAATCTCTTTGATATCCCATGAGAGTAAAGTTTTACTAAAGGTAATACAGAAATGGCTGCAGGCATACATTGACAGAGAACTTGCAGAGGTTCAAGCCGGATTCAGAAGAGGCTGTGGAACGTGGGATATCATTGCTGATGTCTGATGGATCTTGGCTGAAAGCACATATCAGAAAGATGTTTACCTGTGATTTATGGACTACCAAAAGCTTTCGATTGTGTGGATCATGACAAGCTATAGACAACATTGTGAAGTATGTGTATTCCGGAACACTTAATTATGCTCATGAGGAATCTGTGCCTGGACCAAGAGGCAGTTGTTCAAAGAGAACATGGAAACACTGAATGTTTTAAAATTAAGAAAGGTGTGCGACAAGGTTGTATTCTTTCACCATACTTATTCAATCTGTATGCTGAGCAAATAATCCGAGAAGCTGAAGAAAAATGTGGCATCAGGATTGGAGGAAGACTCACTAACAGCCTGTGATATGCAGATGATACAACCTTGCTTGTTGAAAGTGAAGAGGACTTGAAACATTTACTGATGAAGATCAAAGAGCACAGCTTTAGGTATGGATTACATCTCATATAAAGAAAACAAAAATCCTCACCATTGGACCAATAAACAACATTCTTATCAATGGAGAAAAGATTGAAGTTGTCAAGGACTTCAATCTTCTTGCATCAACTATCAACACTCACAGAAGCAGCAGTCAAGAAATCAGACGATGTATTTCATTGGGCAAATCTGCAGCACAAGATGTATTTAAAGTATTGAAGAGCAAAGATGTCAGCTTGAGGACTAAGGTGCGCTTGACCCAAGGTCTTTTCAATAACTTCATATACATGCAAAAGCTCAACAGTGAAAAAGGAAGACCGCAGAAGAATTGATGCTTGTGAGTAATGGTGTTGGAGGAGAATATTCAAAGTGTCATGGGCTGCCAAAAGAACCAATAGACCTGTTTTGGAAGAAGTGCAGCCAGAGTGCTCCTTGGAGGCCAAGATGGCCAAACTTTGTCTCTCATACTTCGGACATATTGTCAGGAGGGACCTGTCACTGGAGAAGGATATCATGTTTGGTAAGGTGGAGGGTCAGACAAAAAGAGGAAGACCCCCCCAATGAGATGGATTGGCCAAGTGACAGCATCGATGGACTCAAGCGTGGTAACAGTAGTGAGTTTGGCCCAGGATCGGGTAGTGTTTCGTTCTGCTGTGCATAAGGTTCCTATGGGTCAGTACCTACTCGATGGCACCTAACAACAACAATGGATTAGTGACACAACCAAAACTTAAATTCAAGTATCCAAACATCCATCTTCTTTGGAGTCCTGGTGTGGCGCTGCGGGTTAATGCACTGAACTACAAGGTTGGTTTGAACAGCACAGTCGGTAGTTCAAGCTCACCAGTTGCCCCTCAGAAAACTTATAGAGGGTAACTATGGGTCGGAACCGACTCATCGGCACTTAACAACACCAATGATCTGGGATCCTGGTATGGCACTGTAGGATAAGCACTGGACTGCTAATTGAAAAGTCAGTGGTTCAAACCTGTCAGCCACTCCTCGGAAACCCCATACAGGTACACAGTGAGTCAGAACTGACTTGATGGCACTTAACAAACATCCATCTACTTGCCTGGTGGTGCTGTAGGATAAGCCAGAGGTTCAAGCCCATAAAGATACCCTATATAAGGCCACTATGAGTCGGAATGACTTGAAAACAGTGTTATTTGTTTTTGTTAATATCCATCTAAGGTGTCTTAGAAGCATAGTGGTTAAGCAATCACTTGCTAACCAAAATGTCAGAAAGGTCAGCAGTTCGAACTCACTAGTCCCTCTGAGGAAGAACAATGTGGCAGTGTGCTTCCTTAAAGACTGTTTTTGTTGTTAAGTGCCATCCAGTCGGTTTCGATTCATAGCAATCCTGTATAGGGTTTCCTAGACTTTTAATTCTTTGAGAGAGCAGAAAGCCTCATCTTTCTTCTGGGAGCGGTTGGCATCTTGGAACTGCGGACCTTGTGGTTCTCAGTCCAGTGCTTATCCTATAGCCTTGAAAACCCCTAGAGGGCAGTTCTACTCTGTCTTATAGGGTCACTAAGAGCCTGACTTGATTTTGTTTTTGTTGTTAAGATCTATCTAAAAGTCCTTGGGTGGTACAAGCAGTTCAAAATCAACCCAGAAGACTCTTCTGGCAATCTGATACCGAAAAGTCCGCCTTAAAACCTCTATGGAGCAGTTCTACTCAGCACATATGGGGTCGCCCGGAGTCGCAATGGATTCCACTTCAACTAACAACATCCGTTTGGGCGAGTGAATGGGGTCATAATGACCTTGTTATTACTTCAATAAATATGTGCTACTTACTATGTGCTAGGGATTCAAAGATGGGGCGGGGTGGGGAAAAATCTCTGCTCTTCATAGAGTTTTCTTCCCTGTAGAAAGAAAACCCAGTGACCTAGGTAGGAGCGATTGGGTCTCCCATAGAAGGGAATCCCATCTTTTGTCAATTTCTGTGCTGTTTACGGAGAGAGGGCAGAGTTACTGCAGAAGCCTAAGGCAGAGGCAGAGACCTCGGTAGTGTTCTCCTCCTGCCCTGTGAAAGTCTGGCGGGCCTGGATCCAGGGCGTCGCCGTGCACCTGCTCAAGTCGGATCATTAGCTTCAGCCTCCTTTCCCTCCCTCTCCGCGTTCCTGCGGACAGCTGGAGGACACCGAAACAGCACCCAGCTCTGCGCCATCCCTCAGGGAAAGGAATGCGGACTGGTGAGAATCCTCCCAAGGCAATCGCGCTTGTTTAATAACCAGACTGGGGGAGGCAGTGCAGCCACACGCTCCTTCCATCCCGGCCGAGGCCACTGCAGCGGCCCCCCTCCCCCGCCCCGCTACCCGCCTTTGCCTCACGCCCCACCCGATAGCTCAGACTTCAGAGTCCTACTGCAGCTTTTCAGCTCTCTGCTCCTTTTTCTTCTTCACTTCCTGGTTGCCATGGAGACACACGTCATTTACGTGCCGTGCGTCGCCTTGGAAACAGAGGGGCATCCGCTGCCGGGCGGGGAGACCCGCCCCAGCCGCTCGGACCACACTCGCGGGCGCTGCCCGTTAATGGCTGGAAGAAGTCTGGAGCACGAGCCGCTGTTGGCCTGGGCAGCGACCCGAGCCCCTCAGCGAGCACCACTGTGACTCGGGGAACCGGTGTGCACTCCCTGTTCTTGGCGCCAGAAGGGTGGCGCTGACACGGTCACAACCCCGGAGGCCAGGCAGTGCAAGGAGCTTTCGCCCCAGGACGAGCCCGAGAGACTCCCGCCTTGGGACCCTTGCCGGGCTCTTGTTCCGCCGTCTCTCCCCGGCCTCTCCCGAGCCTGCCCGCACGCGCCCTCCACCCGGGACGCGTGTCCTCACGTCGGCAGCCCGCCCCTCTTGGGAGCCTGTTCTTCCCTGGGCTCCTCCTTGCCTCCTCCGGGGACCCCCTCCCCGCCCCTTCCTACCCCATAGGTTGGACCGGACCGGACCCAGAGCCGCCACCGCCAGCTTCTGCCATTCAATGGAGGACGGTCTACTGGAGCTCATGACCAAGGACGGTGGCGACATGCCGGCGCCTTTGGCGGTGTCCACTGTGCCAGCCGTGGGGGACGTGATCTCCGGGGAGTACAACGGTGGCATGAAGGAACTGATGGAGCATCTGAAAGCTCAGTTGCAGGCCCTGTTTGAGGACGTGAGGGCCATGCGGGGCGCCCTGGACGAGCAGGCTTCGCACATCCAGGTGCTTTCGGACGACGTGTGCGCCAACCAGCGGGCCATCGTTTCCATGTGCCAGATTATGACTACAGCGCCCCGCCAGGGCGGCCTGGGCGTGGTCGGTCGCAAGGGAAGCTTCCAGGACACCCCTCAAGAGCCGGAGAACCCTTCGTCTGGGACCGGGGACGGCGGCTTGCTGGGTCGAGATCCGGAAGACGAGGAGGAAGGGGACGACGATGAAGAGAAGGACGTGCCCAGCCCTACCACACCCACCAGTCACTGTGAGCACCCTGAGAGCCCCTGTGCTGGTCTCCTTGCGGGGGACGGGCCACTTGTGGAGCCCCTCGATCTGCCCGACTTTACCCTGCTGCAGTTGGAGGGCGAGGCCTCCCTGTGAGGGCACTCCGCGAGGGCACCTTTCCCGGCTGGCTGTGGGTTTCCCACTGCATGACGCTAGGGGACTGAACTGCGCGGTGCAGCCTGCTTCACTCCGGCTGCTGCTCTTGCTCGTCAGGCAGAGAGAGACTCCTGAGGAATGATATGTAGGGTGATGGACTTTGGGAGCATCAAGAATTCTTTCTGCACAACCAAGCGAGAGGTAGCAAACGGCGGAAAGGTGAGGTTCCGGGAGAGGAAGCGCCCATCTCTGGATTCCCATCCGTCCCCTCCCCTCCCTCTACCCCGCTGCCCCCGCCCCGCTAACAGGAGAACCCCTGACTTGTGTAAATAAAATTCTGCTTTTTCTATTCTGAAAAAAAAAAAAAAAGGACTTATCGAGGACTATACCAAATATCTCTAAAGATTTACTTAGAAATTAGGAATTGGGGGGTATTCTGTTCTGGCAACAGAACATGTACCTTTCTGCTGAAACCCAAGATATTCAGTGCTCTGCAGAAGCCTCTCCCCCTCACAGATCTCTGCGGCTGCTGATTGGTAAAGGAAGCTTGAGGAGGGAACTGCAGCCCTAGGAATCTGGGTGAATGGGGTTCTAAGGGCCCTCGGGGTTGGGGGAGCTGGCTATGAAAGTGCATGAAGACCCAGTAGCTGATCCTCTAGGATTTTGCATGCAGAGCCGATCCTGCCTTGTCACTGACTTCATCCGGGGTTGCTTTTCTACTCACTGGGACTTAGAGAACAAAGAGCCCAGTTTACAGGCAGAAACTCAGTGCTCAGCAGCAGCCCAGATTTAGGGGACATTTCAGGGACTCTTGGGAGCCGAGCTAAAAGCTCTCTTCTGGCTACACCTGCTTAACTTCAGTTCCTCTTCCTGCCTATATATCCCTGCCCGCTGCCTCTTGGTGTTGCCTCCATGATGTCTCGTGTGTGTTATGTGTGTCTACTTGTATAGTAGTGTGTGAGCCCTGAGGGGCAGGACTTGTGGCTCTGGTGTTAGGTTCAGGGGGCTTCCAACCATTCTGTGAGTTCCAAGCTATCATGGCGCTTCCTCCCCCTCCCCCCACCAGGGCATGGAGCATGTGGCTGTCCTGAGGTTCCTTAACTGATGTGCCGCCCTTCCCCCTCCTTTGTGTATCCTTTTCAATGCTTTCCTTGGTGTTAACCTTAATAAAGAGGTGTCATCTCCCTTGCTGACTGATACTAGGGGGATGTCAGGGTGGGGCTTCTGGGCCCACTGCATGGACCAGGGCTAAGTGGGAACTGCAGGGACCCAGCCTTCCCTCCTCTCTCCTTGCCTCTAATTCCAAGGAGTTGGCCCTCCCTGGATGGGACAGTCACTGCCAGCTTTGCCTGCTTTCCCTTCTGTCCTGGACCTTAACTTCAAGTTGGATTAAGAAACAAGGAGATATTTGCTAAGATTCCCAAATTTCCAAGAATTTTTAGTAACCAGAACTCCAGATGTACAAAGAGTCTTTTCAGGGAAGCACCTGGCCCCTGGGAGATGATTTCCAAGTCTGAATCTTAGAACAGTAGGTGTGACATGGATTAGTGAAGGGAGACACCCTGTTAATGCTCAACTGCTAACCAAAAATTTGGAGGTTTGAGTTTACACAGAGGCACCTTAGAAGAAACACCTGGTGATCTAATTCTGAAATATCAGCCCTTGAAAGCCCTCTGGAGCATGGTTCTATTCTGACAAACATGGGGTTGCTTTGAGTCAGTCCATGGAGACAGATTTTTTTTTTTTTTTTTTTAACTGGTAGGGATTGCCTGGGAATTGCTAGGAGGTAACGTGACACATCACAAAGGAAATCACAATAACTGACTCAGGCAAGGTGTTCCCTGGGGAGATTAGACTGCCTTCAGCTCTAGGTTTTCCTTTGGGCAATGGAGATTTCCCCAGGCTGCCCGGGAATGAATCTGGATGATTGTGTGTTTACGTATGTGTGCACGTGTGCATCCCCACACACATGCAGAAAGGTAGAACACTGGAATCATGAATCTGGGATGGAATCTCAGTCCCCACACTGAATTCAATTCTTGAGATTTAATTTCCTGTTTGAGACTTAGTTTCTGAATGTATAAAATGTGAGGATTTTATACAAGACCCTTAGGAGATCTTGTGTAAATGTTAGTTTCTTGACAATTCTCTTAGGGGTGGGGTGGTTACTCCTTTGGGAAAAAAAAAGTACCAAGGGACAGTTTCAGAAGCTTTTGTTTTATATGATCTTTCCCTATGTAAAGAATAGGGAGTTCTGGTGTGGCACTGTAGGATAAGCACTCGGCACACGGAGCAGCAGTCACAACAGTCTAAAGAACCCTTATCCTTCAGGATAGAATTAAGGACAAGGAGATGATGAGATTCCTAAGCCTACTTGGGCCCTTTTCTCATTAATGTCCCTGTAACAATAATCTTGGGGGTCAGCCTGGTGCACACAGGATGAGCCAGAGGAAGCCTGGAGTTACGCAGTGGTTTGGGAATGTGTGCTGTGGGCCCTAAACCAAGCCAACTGCCTTTGGGTCGAATTGACTCATAGGCTGTAATCTTTATGAGGCTGTAAATCTTTATGGGAGCAGAAAGCCTCATGTCTCGCCCAAGAAGCAGCTGGTGGGTGGGTTTGAACTACGGACCTTGTGGTTAGCAGTTCAAGGCAGTTTAAACATGTAAGTTGGGGAATGTTCCTGAGCACTGGCAGGCAGTTCCTTGCTATTTCCCCAGTATTCAGCACTAATAACTATGCTAGGTATCATTTATCAAGCACTTGCTGTCAAGTCGGTTCTGATTCATAGCGACCCTGTATAGGATTTCCGAGACATGCCTGGTGGGTTTGAACCACTGACCTTGTGGTTCAAACTAATCTTGTGGTCCAGTGCTTATCCTACAGCACTGTACCAGAACTCCAATAACAATGCTAAGTATCACTGATCAAGCACTTACTTTGTGCTAACCGCTGTGTCCAGATTTATCTCTTAACAACTCTGTGAAGTTACCAAGTTGCTATTTTCCACTCAGCACTTAAAAAAAAAACAGACTCCAAGACATGCTCCTCAAGATCACATGCTAGTACTTGGCAGAGGTAGGACTTACACCCAGATGTGCCTGACTTAAAGAGCCTTAGATTACAACCACTCTGCTAACTGCTGTGTTATCTTCAGAGGAAACATGCTATTTCCCCAATCTAAAGAGTCCCCAAAAGGAAAGAACCTTAGTTTTAGTCCCACTTTATCGTCACAGTTGGAATACAAAATTGGGTTCAGGTTTTGTCTGGTGACCTTTCTTAGAGTCCATTGAGTGGTAATGTAACAAGAGCACCAAGAAGATGGCCTTCTGGGCCTGCTCCTTGAGAGGAAGACACCAACGTTCCCAGGTATTCCCTAACATCCTGTGCCTCTTTCCTATGATTCCCTGTAGCGTATAGTCTGTAGAGTCTGACCTGAATCACACTCGGATTCAGAGTGTACCCATTTAGCCTCAGTAGGAAGTTCTGCTAGAGCCCTTCAATGCCTTCCTTTGACCACTATCCTGAATGTGTCATCGGTCCCTTAGCCCAGGGCCTCCTAGAAGTTCTCTAGTTATCCGTCCTCCTGCAAGTGCAGATAGAGTTGAACATCCCCAGAAAGGGCAATTCTTCAGTCACCTGCACCAGTATATCACAGGTGTTCATTACCCATTCGTCCCTCATCTCCTTCTTCCACCCGGACTCTTCTGTTTCCCCTTTGGAATGTTGCCGATTAGTGGAATTCAGGTGAGATTCCTAATCTGGGACTCATGGGGAGGGGCTACTATTGAACCTCAGGGGACTGAGATCCCTTAAAATTCAATGTGAAATCTTATGTGTATTGTCCAGAAAGAAGGTCCATTGTTTTGACTTAATTCTCAAAAGGACTGACTCAAAAAATACCAAAGAAATGATCCTGTGGGAATCTGATACTCCTTAGAACATTTGCCTCCAGGGTCTGCTGACTATTTCCCACAGGGCATTTCAATCTTCTCATAAATTTGTTTACTAACCACCTATTAACACATGCAAATTACACTGACATCTGCTTGGTAAGTGTGCTAAGAATCCTGACTTTCATGCTTCCAAGTCTGCCAGTTCCTACTTGGGATATGGCAGAGCAGATCTGATGTCCAGAGGTGAGGCGATGGTCCCTTCTACCACGTTGTGCTGCACTTATAACAGGGTTCAGTATGACCCGGTGTGTGCCCCAAATCTCAGGGTTACTCAGAACCCACTCGGGTCTTTTGGTCTCTCACAGGTCCAAAGGACCTCCCTATGTTTGGCTCTTAATCTCTTAGTATGTTTAAGTGAAAAGACATGCAGCTTCATAGGAATGTTACAGCTTTAACCTGGCACAACTCAATAGCTCTTCTCTAAAAGACGCAAATCAGCCTCAAACAAACAAGTAGTTTTATCTGATCCTAAGGCGCTCTGGTAGCGTAGTGGTTACAAATCGGGCTGTGAACGAAACTACCAGCTGTTCCATGGGAGAAAGATGAGGCGTTCTGCTCCCATAAAAATTTACAGCCTCAGAAACCCTGTACAGGGTCACTATGAGTCGGAACCGACTCCACGGCACACAGCCACCACAACCAGTATTACCACAGACTACAATATCTCTGCTTGAGTTTTCCCAGAATGAAGAAGCTCTTTCCCTCAAATATATCTGAGTCTATGGCGTATCACTTGAGGATAAGCACTTGACCATAGGTCAGTTCGAACTGCAAGGCCGGTGGTTCAAGCTCACCAGCTGCTCCTTAGAAACCCTGTACAGGGTTACTATGAGTTGGAACTGACTCAACAGCACTTAACAACAATACGTCTTGAAAGACAGAAAACCACTTGCATCTTTGAAAAGGCAGGTTTTCATAAATATTTTCCCCTATCTATATGCTGGTAGCGTAGTGGTTATGAATTGGGTTACAAACCTCAAGGTCAGCAGTTCGAAACTACCAGCTGTTCCGCAGGAGAAAGATGAGGCTTTCTGCTCATCTTTTAC